CGCCGACGACGCCGGGCAGGGGCGGGCCCCGCGTCAAAGGCCTGGCACCGCGACTGAGGGATGACGTCATCATATCAAAAACCTTGTTGCCCAGGCGGACGGCAGGGAGGCCAGAGATCTCACCCGCTGGGCTGCCGCTGAGCATGCGCAGGACCGAGGCGTCGGTCTTGGTGGCGAAGAACTGGAAGATGGTGAGCATGCAGCGCGCGCTGATGTCGTTGCAGTCCAGGAACCCCAGGGCGTAGGCTGGGGGGAGGGGGGGGGGTGGGAGATGCAATAGGGTGGGCATGTGGCCACGCACGATGATTTGGGGTTGTGAGGCGTGACGCGAGCGTGCACGAGCTCCCGCGCAGGCGCCTGGATGCGCCTGCGGCACCATCAGCCTTCCCCGCGCGCCCCTCGCGGCCCGCGCATCGGGCAGCGCGCTCGGGGGCCCCCGCGCGCCTCTCGCGGCCCGCGCATCAGGCAGCAAGCTCGGGGGCGAAGGCGGCGGCGGCCGGGGCGCGGCGTGGAGCTGCAGAGGCCGCAGTTGCGAGGGTGCGTGACTCACCGATGGGGTCCCACATGCGCTTGATGGACGCGTCGCTGCCGCCGTGGGACTTGAACCAGTCGGTGAACGAGATGTTGTCGAGCGCCCGGATGTCCTGCATCGCCCCCTCGGGGTCGAACAGCGCCCGCACCACCGGCGACGTGCCCAGCGCCTGGGGTCCGGGCGCGGGGCGCGGGGGCGCGGCGGAAGGTGGGCGCGCAGGCAAAGACAAGCGCCGCGCGCGGTCGGCCACGTGCGGGGCGCCGCGTCTCTCCTCACTTGTTCCCCTTCATGGAGCAAAAATCGGGGCCGCCATGGAGGCGGGGTAACGCGGTGCTGCCGGGCACGCAGGCCGCCACCCGGGGGCCCCAGGCGGATGAAGCTGCGCAGCCCTGGGCGCTCACCAGGCTGTTGGCGACCTTGTCAATGGGCTCCAGCTGGGGGGTGGTGAAGAACGCCTTCAGGCCTGGGGTGAGGGCGCCATGCGTGGCAAAGGAAGGAAAGAATCAGAGTGGGTCCATCGCCCGGCCTGTCCAGGCGGCGGCCGCGCCGGCAGCGCGCGCCTCCCATGCCTCCGGCGCCCCCGGCCCGTCGCCGCGGCCGCCCTGCTTGGCCGCACGCTGCCGGCCTCCGCGCGGCGAGTGCGGCCGCGGGGAGGAGGCGACAAGACGCGGGATCCAATCAACCGCGGCCCCCTCACCGTGGAAGGGGGCCCCGATCTTTGTGTCGTTTACAAAGAAGCGGAAGTCCAGCTCCCGCACGTCCCCGTCCAGGTTGCAGAACGTGTGGGTGTGATCCTGCAGGCGCGCCAGCCGGCAAGGCACGAGGCCAAGAAAACGCAGAGACTTGGGTGCAGCGGTTTGGGGACAAGCGCGCACGCGACGCATGGGTGCGGGCGCGCATGCACCGCTGCCGGCCGTTCACCGGGCCGCCTTTTCACAGATTGCTGCGCCCGCCTGCCCGCGAAAGAACGGCTGCTTTCGCGCCGCCCCGCGTCGCCGCTGCCCCGACGCGCCGCTCTCCTTGCAGCTGCCGCTGTCCAAACGTCCACACGTCCTTCTGGCCCATCATCACGCTTCACGTCTCTACGCTGGGCCCTGGAACCACCTCCCGCACCACAACCAGATCACAGCCCAACCCGCTGCCCAGATCTCAGCCCAGATCTCAGCCCACGTCTGAGCCCAGATCGCAGCCCAGATCGCAGCCCCCCACCTTGAGCAGCAGGTTCTCCAGCACCCCGCACTTGGCCATAAGGCGGAACAAGTTGAAGTAGCAGCCGAAAAACACGTGCAGGCCCATCTGCCAATCGTGGTTGCGGGGCGGAGCCAGGCAGCCTCACACTCGCGATCAGCATGCCCCCAGGGAAGGCGCCGAATATCCGGAGGGGCCGCGGCTGCTGCACCCAAAGGGCCCGCCCCCCCCCCCCTCCTCGCCCTCAAATGCGATGTGGTTCCAGTGCATGCGTTCACCATGCATGCACGGGAGTGTGGCGCCCATGTGTGCATGTCGTGAATATGCAGGCACGCATGGGCGTGAGGTGCCCATGTGTGCATGTATCTTCACACATGGGCATGAGGTGCCCAACTGCCCATGGGTGCATGCAGCTGCGGGGGCCGGGGGCCGCACCTCGATGTGGTTCCCGTCCTTGTCCTTGAAGGAGGCCACCTTGCCGCCCACCCACTGGCGGCCCTCGTAGATGTCCACCTCGTGACCCTGGCGGCGAGGTTGCGTGGGGTTGGGGGAGTCCAAGGTTGGAGAAAGCACGCGTGCGTGCATGTGCTCGTGCAATTGTGTCAGCGTGTGTGTTTGTGTGGCTGTGCGAGCGTGGACGCGTGCGTCTGCGTGTGTGTAGGTGTGTGTGTGTGTGTGTGTGTGTGTGTGTGTGTGTGTGTGTGTGTGTGTGTGTGTGTGTGTGTGGCGCGCACACGTGTGTGTGTACATGTACTTCCTTCCAAGCACGCACGCGGCGGCAGAGGCTTGTGCCCAGGCTGACATATGGCCTGGACCAAGGTGGGCGGGCTCCACACACACCCACCACCAAAACAGGGACGCACGTCTGCGCCGCGGCCGCAGCGGACGCCGCAGCGGACGTAGCCGCGGCCGCCGCTGCTTATGCCCCCGCAGGCGCCGGCGGCGCCGCGTGCCACTGAGCGCTGGTGTTACTGCCCCCTTCCCCCTGGCGGAGGCAGCCGAAGCGGTGCCGCTCACGCAAACCCCACCGCGCAACCGCCGACTAATCCAACCGCCTGCTGACCTGGTCCAGGAGCTCCACGGCAGTGGACAGGCCCGCCAGCCCGCCACCCAGGATCGCAACACGCAGCTTGGGGGCACCCTGCATGCGGCGGCAAAGGCGAATGGGAAAGCCCGGGCGGGCGCGTGAGGGATGGCGGCGAGGGTTGCAGGCAAGGGTGCAGCGCCATGGCACTCTCATGGCGCTCCATTCTGAAGAGAGGGTGCGGCGCTGGCACTCTCATGGCTATTGGCGGAGCAGCCAGAGAGGGGCGCTCCAGATGTGCTGCAGCGCAGCGCCGTCGTCCCCTGCTGCGGCGCGCTTCCGCTTGCGCGTGACGGCCAGCGCGCATGGCAGTGTCGTGGCCATGGCAGCATGGCCGACTGCACTTTTCCAGCTGCTGCCCAGCACGTAATCATGGGGCTACGTAGCTCAGTAATCACTGCTTGATAAACGCAGCCATGCTAGCATGCCTCCTCACCGGGGCGGGCGGCGGCGGCGCCGTTGGGAACAGGGACGGCAGCGGCGCGTCCTTTGGCCCCACATCCTGACCAGCGACGTTCAGCGTTGACGGCCGCTCCGGCGCAGCAACGGCCCTCACAACTGAATGAAATAAGTCCCACGTGCGGCATTACGACCTTGATTATTGGGTGCCACACATCTACGTGATGTGTGGGCGGGCTGGTGTGCAGCGATTCGCTGCTGACCACTGGCATGCAGGCCGCCCTGCCTCCGCAATACGCGCATTGGGTAATCCTTATTGCCAACAACATACGCATTGCCTCCCCGCCTTACCCGGCATGCCCCTGCGAGCCAGGCGTCCGCTGCTGCACACCGCCCTCGGCGCAGCGGGCTTCGGCCCGCCCAGACGAGCACCGCGGATCGTCTGCTGAACTTGCATGATTATGACGCGCGGCTACGGATCCCACAGGCGCTCTATACACGCAATCTCGGTATAAAGCTACTGAACACTGCTGCAATCACAACATGAGAGAGAAACGTGGCGTGAAAGAATGGTTTATATGCGCGTGGGGGCCCCACATACGACCCGATGGATGCCGATTCATCGACGCCCGCCTAGCTGCTCTGTGCGGTTGTGCACGGAGCACGAGTGGTGCCGGATAAGTGGAGTGCTGGAAGCACATAGCCGGTGCTGCCCAGAACATAGCCCTGTGCTGGGCTCACAGAACTCACCTGGGGCTTGGCGCCCCGCTGGCCTAACGCACGGGCGCAACGGTCAACACCTCATGTATGCGGCATGGACTCATGTCAGCTGCAGCGCTTCCACCACGATCCATGACCGACAAGTTTGGCCATCACAGCAGCTCGGCCATCATATGTCGGATGATCCCCCGTGTGCTCTCGCAGGTGTGCTGCCAGCGGACAACACCCACCTTGAAACACTCTTGGGGCGGCGCAGATTGTCCGCAGTGCGCACCCCCTGAGGTGCTCATGCAACTGTATGAAACACCTCAGTGTTTCGCGCGGCAAGAAAGCAGCACAGAGATGCGTGAATCAAGGCGTGCTGCCTGGGCCCCACAATGCAGCGACAGCAACAGGCACGGCCGCTACCACGGTGCATGAAGTGTTTTGAGGTGCAAGCGCTACACGGGCGAGCCGCAGCCGCGAGCCCGTTGGCGAGTCACCTCCACCTCCACCAAATGGTGGCCACGAGCGCGCGACAGCATTCCTACGCCTGCCGAACGCCGAGCCTGAGAGGGGCGTCCCTGAAAGGGCGCGCTGCCGGCTGGCAAGGGGCTGCCGGGAAGGGACTGTGGTGTGCCGTCTACGGGGCAACCTACCCCTTGAGTCAAAGGGCTGCCCAGCACAGCCTTTGGCGGGATGTCGGCGACGGAAACGCCACGCCGGTCGCTGCTGGGCACTGACTGTGCATCAGGTGACATGCATTCAAGGTGTCGCCATGTGCAGCACGACTGTCTGCCGCTTGCCTGGTGCTCCCGCTGCGATTGCGCTTGCTGCCCGTGCTGCGACTTGCCATGCCCCTGCGGCTGCGCCACTGCAAACCTGCCACTGGCGTAATGCCCCAACCCAGCCGCGTTTCGCTGTTGCAGCACCCGCCCTGCAAGCTCTCACACCTGCCCAAGCCAGGCTGTTTGCACACAGCATCCTATCAAAATACGCGGGCAGTCGCCGCAGCACCCTACAGCGTGCACCCCGCAGCCCTCGTATTGTCCAAGTCAACCACCACACCAGGCTGCCAATCTTCGGCCCTCATCATCAATAACCTTCACCCACATCACATAAGCTTGTCAGCTGCGATTTCAACTCTCTACAACCCTCCCGTGCATGCTCCGCCACCTGTCATCACCCAAAACCTGCACATAGGCAGCCAGCCGTGTGGCTGCCGCCCACCACCCCCTTCAGAGGCCCGCGGTCATCAGCCAGTTGAAGGGACTGCTTGCACAATTACAGCCACGCATCGCGCCTCTGAAAAAATGCATGAGGTACTCACACAAGCCCCTCAAAACTGTACGGGGCGCCGACTGTCCGTCACCACGTTCACGGCGAGCCGCCCGCTCCCCGCATGCCCGCAGGTTCTCCCGTGCCTGCCGCCACAAGGCCAGGCGCCCTCGGCCCCGGGCGGCCTTAACCACTCACGCGCGACGCCACAGCCCCCTTGAGGCCCCCTAGACCTTGAACAGCAGCAGGCTCGCTGCCATCACCGCCGCGCCGCCGAAAAAGCCGGAGGTGGCAAACGTGTCTTCGGGGTCGTACCTGAGGGCCGTGGGCAGCAGCTCCTTGACTGCGATGTACACCATGACGCCCGCCACAAACCCAAAGGACACGGCAAATGCTAGGGGATTGCCGACGCCGCCGCCGGCGGAGATCAGCGCGTAGCCGATCAGGCCGCCGATGGGCTCGGCGGCGCCGCTGACAAAGCTCCAGAAGAAGCCCTTTCGATTGTGATGGAGGGGGGAGCGGTGCAGCAGGGTGGGGAGGGGGCAGGCCAGACCGGCGCAGGCGGGGCAGCCGGGTTGCAGTCGGCCGATGTAGCATCGCCCGCACGGCAGCCCCAGCACCGGCCAGTCCTCTTCGCCACATGGTGCAGCCGGCTGCGTCGTGGGGCGCCCCGCCCTGCTGCAGGTGAGCGCCTGCCCACCTTCCACTTCGACCCTGTCGCGTAGTAGATGGGCATCGCGACCACCACGCCCTCGGGGATGTTGTGCAGCGCGATCGCCACGGCGATCGCCGCGCCGGCGCTGGGGCTGGCGAGGGCGGCAACAAACGTGGCGAGGCCCTCTGCGGCGCGGCGCAGAGAAATATGCGCGGCGTTCAGCGGCGTGAGGCGGCGGTAGTCGTCCTCGTCAGCGTGCGGTCCGAGGCGGCAGACGTGGCGCGAGCCGCGGCGACGAGCGAGCCAGCCGGCTGGCCTTGGCAGACGTGGCGCGAGCCGCGGCGACGAGCGAGCCAGCCGGCTGGCCTTGGCAGACGTGGCGCGAGCCGCGCGGTCTTATCGTCATCTGTTTTCTCACCTGGGACGTTGTGCATGCCGACAGCCAGCGCGCTGAGCAGCCCCGTGCGCGCGAGGGAGGTGTGGTGGTCGGCCTGGTGCGGGGTGCGGGGTGGGAGGAAGTTTGGGATCAGTGAGGCGCGGAACGCCCGGCACGTATTCGTGTGCAAGTGTTGACGGCGCGGATGAATGCGGCAGCGACGGCAGGGCAACGTCGGTAGGCGGCCACGTCGCCCTGCCGCCGCCGCCACTGTCGGCTGCCGCGTTGTCAGGTGCGTGGGCCGGCGGCAGACCTGGGCCCGCTGTGCGTGCTTTGCCTTGGCAGCCGGAGGGTCGCACCTCCAGGACCCTCCTCATCTCGGCACTCTCGCCCTTTGGGATCTCCATCGGCGGCGCCTCGGGGCACCGCGCGCCGCCGCCACACGCCTCGCAAACCACAGACGCCGCAGACGCGCCGTCTTCCTCGGCGCCCCGGGCGGGGGCCGGCTGCGGGCCCGGCGCAGCAGTCGCCGTCGCAGCCGCGGCGGCCTGCGGGCAGGCCTCGGGGGCGGCGGCGGCGGCGGCGGCGGCGCGTGCGCCGCCAGCTTCGACGTCCCCGGGGCCCTGCCGGCGCGCCGCCTGCACGCGGCGCTCCCGGCGGTCCGCCGCTGCCGCGGCCACGTGCAGCAGCGCGTGCACGAGCCGCCCGAGCAGCCAGGTGGCCGCGGCGCCACCAAAGAAGCACAGGGTGGAGTAGCGCCAGGCCTCGTTGTCGGAGAAGCCGGCGTCGGCAAAGGCGCCAACCGCTTTCACGCAGAAGATCTCGACAAAGGAGACGTACTGGGCAAGAAAAAAAGGCAGGGGCGGCAGCAGGTGAAAATTTAGACGGTTCGTGTTGCGTGAAGCGGTTTAGGGGACGACAGCGCGAAGTAATGCTGGGGCGGGGCGCAGGGGACACGCGTGCGCAGCGGCGCGTGCTGCCGCCGCGCAAACCACGCGGGGCCGAAGCAGCGCCGCGCGAGGGCGCACCGTCATCACGCCGGCCGACACGCCGAGCGCGCCGGACAGCAGGCGGTGGTTGGCGAGCGACGAGCAGAACACAAGGGACGCGCCGAGGCAGGTGCACGCGCCCGCTGCAACCACCAGGCCGAATGCCAGCCCCACGCTGCCGCTGCTGTACGAGGCCTGGCGACAGATAGCATGGGCAGGCACATATGCTGTTGCTTGGTGGACACAGCAAATGCAGGGGGCGAAGGGGATGACAGTACGTGGGAGGGTCGCGAAGTGCCTGCAGTGCACTGCCACTGCTGTACATTTGCGGCAGCCCCACTTGGCAGAGCGAGCAGCGCGCCAGAGGGCTCACCATCGGGCGGGCGTGACAACAGGGAGCTCTTCAGCGCCCTGCAAAAAACGCACCGGCCCCTGGCCTCGCCGAACTGGACCTACACTATTAGATCTCGCGGCGCGTTCGGCGCCTAGTTAGTGGGGTGCGATGAGATTTATGAGACACGGAGCGCCAGCGTAGCTGCTTGAGCAAGGGACCACGCTTGTTGCGTGGTGACTTGAGTCAAGTGCCTTGCAGCCCTGCGGTTTAGAGAGGGGCAGGCTCGAGACAAGCCTTGCCAAAGGACCTGTGCATCAAGACCAACCTTTGAAACACACTATTTGCTAGTGATGCTGCCGGCCGGGCTGCAGCACAGCTTTCCTCTGCTCAGCCAAGTGCCTGCGATGAGCCCCCTGCCAGATGCGCCCTGTGTGTGGCCGCCTCTTGGCTCCTGGGCTTGTTCGCAAAGGCTGAACTGCCAGCATGCGGCATACCCATTCATCCAAATGTGATTGCACCGCCTTAGTGCCGGCGTCTCGCTGCGCATGAGGGAGGGGCGGTTTGATTTTGCATGATGGTTTCGCCGGAGTGTGTTCAAACGTCTTGCTTGCATGCTTTGAGCAAGGTGTTCGCGGCAGCGGGCAGCCCCAGTACTCCAACAGGGGCAAACTGACACTGGCAGTCATTGCATCCAGGCCGACACTCCAAGTTCGTCACCCAAGAATCTGCACCCCGGTCCAACACATCACGCGGGCATCGCAGGTCTCTCTGCCCACACAAGTCCGTGCAGCTGCGAGCACGCTCAGATGATTGCTTGGACAAGAATCATATTCACACACCATGAATCCAGGATACCCACGCTCGCCGGGCTACTTACCTGCCTCGATGCAGTCACCTGGAGGCTTCATTGGCCGGCGTGGCCCTGGCACAGTCGAGTGAGCTGCAACAGACGTACAGATTTTGATTCCAACACGAACGCTGTACGCCCATGAACATCAGCGTCTGTGAGCTGCCAAGTGTGTTTTCGCGGCGGCCTTGTCACATTCGCTGCCTCCTGGGTGGCGATGCTGGGGCGGCGCACCAGAACAGCGTCCGGTCAGCTAGGCAATGGCATGTGCAGCATGCCAGCCTTCGCAATCAAGAACCCTATCGTACGCATATGCCAACCTGACAGGTTTGATATCCATGATTTTGTTTATATTGAACATCTGCAACGCGCAGCGCGGCTCGCTTCACTAGTTCTGGCGCTTCTCGCCGAATCCAGCAGCACGCTCCTCATCGGAGCCTCTTGAGCAGCCAAGGGTGCTTGCCAATTACCTGGGCAGCACCATGGCCAGCGCGAAGCAGCAGCAGGGCTGGCTGAGGCGAAACCAGCACTTTGTTGCGGGCGCCTGCGTGGCCGCAGCGGCCAGCTACGTAGCTTATAAAGCCTACAACTCACAAGGCCTGGCCTCGACCCAAGCCACGCTGCTGCGCGCCGCCGAGACGCTGCACCGGCTCGGCGCAGCGGCGGGCTCAGCAGGTGCCGTCCTAGAGCAGGTGTCGTCCGACCTACGCGCGTTCCTAGAGTCCGACGCGGATGAGGTCCCTCGCAGCCTGCGCCAGCTCGCGAAGCTCGCGCGCTGCCCAGAGGTGCAGGGTACGATCCAGGCCTGCGTCGGCGCCGCAGCGCGCGGCGCCGCGCCGCCGCTGACGGCCGCGGCGGTCGCGCTGGTGGACCGCC